ATAATTGACTTATGAAAAACCTTGTCTAAAAAATTAGACTATAGAAGACTCTGCATCCAGCAAGTTGTTGTATTTAATCAATTTTCATTTATTGCTCATTGCTCGTTGAATTTTATAAATTGATTGAAAATGAAGGATTTTAGAAAAAGAGTTTCGTTCAAGATACTCTTTTGAGTCACTATTGCTTCAATTTTTGTTCAAATGTATGTATTAATAATAGAATCTTAGATTTTATTATTTTGTTGAGAAAAGTCATTTTGTTTGGAACACTGTTTTTGTACAACAAATAATTTTCGAGAAAAGTGTTAGGTGGTGTAGTTAAATGACTCTCTTTGTATAAATCAGCAGTTGCTAAATGATTCTTTTTATGCAATATACATATAAATAAAAGAAATCGTTAACACTGTATATTATTTTTTCATATGTGCAAGAAAATTGTTCAGTAGTCTAGTCATTTTTCCATTTCATTACTTACCATCGTCTATCACTTTTTCGATTGTAGTAATTTCTTCGAAGAAATTAAAGATTTATGTTTATTTTGTGCCATTATTATTGTTATTAGTTTATTATTAGCTTATTGTCAGCTTTACAAGCTCTATCACTGTAAAAATCTCATCGAGAGGTGAGCCACTATAGTGGCCACTATAGTGGCTCGCTTTAGTAGCTCACTCGCTCATCGTTTGAACCAAATAATCGTCTTCATATGCATTGCTTCACACTTCTTTTGTCTTCACATCGATTTACAACAGTCTACAGGGTGTCCCAAAAATGTCTCGCAATCCGGAAATGGCGGGTTCCTCGGATCATTTGAAGCAACTTCTTCCTTTACAAAAATTTTCTCCGAGGCACCGTTAACGAGTTATAAACGAAAAACCGTCACCAATAAGAATCGAGTACGGCTGACGCGAGGCGGCCAAGCCAACCAGCGCGCGAAGCCCAGTTCCGCTCATTGGCTCGATCGTCACGCGCCAGCCGAGCTCGCCTCTCATTGGTCACTGTTTTTCGTTAATAACTCGTTAACGGTGCCTCGGAGAAAATTTTTGTAAAGGAA